CTGTTCTGAACTGAACAGCGCGGCCTAGCAATATGCGGTGACGCCTGTTGCTGCTGACTGTGATGCTTGGAGCTGCTGAAATTATATGAAATCATGGCCGCGACTCCAGAATCCTGGAGGTTCTCAGTTTGTCTCGCTCACTGTAGCTTTCAACAGCGAATCTAAGCCGTAGGTTCCTTATCCGCATCAGCATCAGCTGCATTCGCGATTCCGAGCCGTAGGATTCTGTATTCCTCGTCGGACGGTTGAACTATGCCACAAGTAGTCGCCCGTACGACAGCATTAATAGGGTAACCCGGAGATGTGGTAGCACGGGGTCCGAATGTTTCGCAATCGAAACCTCATTGGGGAAGACAATGGGCGAGAGGAAGGAGAGGAAGCGAGAGATGGGCAATGCCGATCCAGCCATCAGAGGGTCACGGAGTTGCGAGGAAAAACCTGCCGTTACGATAGATGATGGGATTTCAACGAGAAAGGGGTGTTGGCCGTGTACGCGTAAGCGACAGCGCATAAGCGGAAGACAACGTACCAGGCCAATGGGACAACTCCGAGGTCGCAAGGGACAACTCCAAGGTTGCAGGCGACAACTCCAAGGTCGCAGGCGACAACTCCAACGTCGCAGGCGACAACTCCAAGGTCGCAAGCGACAACTCCAAGGTCGCAGGGGACTGCTTACCTGTAGCATCGTGCTCCTCTTCCTGGCAGTGAGTCCCACTGACTGCTGCGTGTGTTGAACCCGCATCTCTTTCCCCTCCGTTCTTCTCTACCACATCCCCCTGGCCCCTCCCTCAACTGCTCTTTCTCCCCCTTGCTCCCTTCCTTCCCCCCTCCTTCCCCTCAACAATATTCTCGCCTTCCCCTCGCGTTCCCCTCCCCACCCGCCCCCTTCCTCGACGGCCGCTGCTGCCTTCTTTCCCCGCTCCTTCCCCCACCCCGCAGGCTTCTTGGCCCCGCTTTCGCGTCCCACTCCCCCCTCGCCCCCTTCCTCGACGGCCCTTTCTCCAAATCCCTCTGTGGCACCTGGCCCCCCTCCTACTCCACTTTTAGGACGCTCAGACCCTCCTCCCCTCCGTTCTTCTCTATCACACCCTCCTGCTCCCTCCCTCCCCTGTTCCCTCCCTCCGCTGCTGCCTTCTTTCCCCGCTCCTCCCCCCAACCCGCAGGCTTCTTGGCCCCCCCTCGCGTCCCACTCCCCCCTCACCCCCTTCCTCGAGGTCTCTTTCTCCAACTCCCTCTGGCGCCTGGGCTCCCGCCTACTCCGCCATAAAGACAGGCCTTCTTACACTCCCCTCCCCCTCCTCCTCCCCCTCCCCCTCCCCCTCCCCCTCCCCCTCCCCCTCCCCCTCCCCCTCCCCCTCCCCTCCCCCTCCCCCTCCTCGATGGCTCTTTCTCCGACTCCCTCTGTGGCGCCTGGGCCCCCTCCTCTCCGCCTGTGGGACGCTAGAAGCCTTCTCTCGTCCCCTCCCTCCCCCACTTTCTTCCCCCCCCATCCCGCAGTCCTCTTGGGCCCCCCTCGCGTCCTCCTCCCCGCTCGCCCCCTTCCTGGATGTTTCCTTCTCCGACTCCCTCTGTGGCGATTGGGCTCCCACCTACTCCGCCTTGCACGCCCAAATTCGCCAGGCTGCTCGCACCAATGCCCCTGCGCTCGCACAAACTGCTGCTGCTGCTGCTGCTGCTGCTGAAGCAGCACGTGAAGCAGTACGGCAATCAGCAGCACCAGCACCGGCACCTGTAGCAACAGCAGCAGTCGCCGGTGCAGCAGCAGCAGCAGCAGCAGAAGCACCCTCTCCAACCACTCCACACCTCTCACCCCCCCCTCCGCCTCCCCCTCCGCCTCCCCCTTCCCCTCCTCCCCCAACCCCATACCCCCGCCCGCCTCTCGACCCCTCCATCCGTTTCCTCACATACGAGTGGCCGGACGAGGCAGGGGGACTAGGGGATTTCCTCACAGGCCTCGCCACCGCCTTTGCCTGCGCGCTGCTCTCCCGCCGAGCCTTCCTGGTCCGGCACCCGTACCTCCCGCTTGCCTTTGCGCCGAACCTGGTGGACTGGTCGTGGACCCCGGACGTACCTGTCGAGCCGGCTCGGAGGCTTGCTCTGGAAGATGGAAAACTGGGAGGGAGCGGAGGAGAGAGCGGAGGAGAGCGAGGGGGAGACGGAGCGGGAGAGGGAGGGGGAGAGAGAAGGAGTGCGGGGGGTGAGAGGAGGGGAGGAGGGGAGGTGGAGGTGCAGGAGGGGGAGGTGGTGGTGGTGGATTTCAGAAACCGGTTTGTGGAGCCTGAGGAGGTGTTTGCGATCATGGATAAGGCTCTCAATGTGCGCGTGACGTGGAATAGAGGCCTGCTCACTTACCTCCTCGTACAGGTCAGTGCTGGTATGGTTTCCTCCTCTTATTGCTGGTAGTTGAAAGTGCAAGAGGTGTTTGGGATCATGGATAAAGCACTCAACGTGCGGGTGACGTGGAATCGAGGCCTGCTCACCTTCCTCCTCGTGTAGGTCAGTACTGGTTCCTTGCTCCTCGTGCAGGTCAGTACTGGTTCCTTGCTCCTCGTGCAGGTCAGTACTGGTTCCTTGCTCCTCGTGTAGGTCAGTACTGGTTCCTTGCTCCTCGTGTAGGTCAGTACTGGTTCCTTGCTCCTCGTGTAGGTCAGTACTGGTTCCTTGCTCCTCGTGTAGGTCAGTACTGGTTCCTTGCTCCTCGTGTAGGTCAGTACTGGTTCCTTGCTCCTCGTGTAGGTCAGTACTGGTTCCTTGCTCCTCGTGTAGGTCAGTACTGGTTCCTTGCTCCTCGTGTAGGTCAGTACTGGTTCCTTGCTCCTCGTGTAGGTCAGTACTGGTTCCTTGCTCCTCGTGTAGGTCAGTACTGGTTCCTTGCTCCTCGTGTAGGTCAGTACTGGTTCCTTGCTCCTCGTGTAGGTCAGTACTGGTTCCTTGCTCCTCGTGTAGGTCAGTACTGGTTCCTTGCTCCTCGTGTAGGTCAGTACTGGTTCCTTGCTCCTCGTGTAGGTCAGTACTGGTTCCTTGCTCCTCGTGTAGGTCAGTACTGGTTCCTTGCTCCTCGTGTAGGTCAGTACTGGTTCCTTGCTCCTCGTGTAGGTCAGTACTGGTTCCTTGCTCCTCGTGTAGGTCAGTACTGGTTCCTTGCTCCTCGTGTAGGTCAGTACTGGTTCCTTGCTCCTCGTGTAGGTCAGTACTGGTTCCTTGCTCCTCGTGTAGGTCAGTACTGGTTCCTTGCTCCTCGTGTAGGTCAGTACTGGTTCCTTGCTCCTCGTGTAGGTCAGTACTGGTTCCTTGCTCCTCGTGTAGGTCAGTACTGGTTCCTTGCTCCTCGTGTAGGTCAGTACTGGTTCCTTGCTCCTCGTGTAGGTCAGTACTGGTTCCTTGCTCCTCGTGTAGGTCAGTACTGGTTCCTTGCTCCTCGTGTAGGTCAGTACTGGTTCCTTGCTCCTCGTGTAGGTCAGTACTGGTTCCTTGCTCCTCGTGTAGGTCAGTACTGGTTCCTTGCTCCTCGTGTAGGTCAGTACTGGTTCCTTGCTCCTCGTGTAGGTCAGTACTGGTTCCTTGCTCCTCGTGTAGGTCAGTACTGGTTCCTTGCTCCTAGTGTAGGTCAGTACTGGTTCCTTGCTCCTCGTGTAGGTCAGTACTGGTTCCTTGCTCCTCGTGTAGGTCAGTACTGGTTCCTTGCTCCTCGTGTAGGTCAGTACTGGTTCCTTGCTCCTCGTGTAGGTCAGTACTGGTTCCTTGCTCCTCGTGTAGGTCAGTACTGGTTCCTTGCTCTCGTTGCTGGTTGTTGGAAGTGCATGAGTGGGGAGGGGAAGTCCAACGGGGGCTGTGGAGGCGAAGGGGGGGTGTGGAGATGCAAGGGCGTAAAGTGGAGTGGAGGTGGTGGTGGTGGATTTCAGAAACCGGTTTGTGGAGCCCGAGGAGGTGTTTGGGATCATGGATAAGGCGATGAACGTGCGGGAATAGAGGCCTGCTCACCTACCTCCTCGTGCAGGTCAGTGCGGGTCAGTGCGGGTCAGTGCGGTGCGGGTGTTTGGGATCATGGATAAGGCACTGAATGTGCGGGTGACTTGGAATAGAGGCCTGCTCACCTACCTCCTCGTGCAGGGCTGTGTCACTGGTGCAGGTCTGTGTCACTGGTGCAGGTCTGTGTCACTGGTGCAGGTCTGTGTCACTGGTGCAGGTCTGTGTCACTGGTGCAGGTCTGTGTCACTGGTGCAGGTCTGTGTCACTGGTGCAGGTCTGTGTCACTGGTGCAGGTCTGTGTCACTGGTGCAGGTCTGTGTCACTGGTGCAGGTCTGTGTCACTGGTGCAGGTCTGTCACTGGTGCAGGTCTGTGTCACTGGTGCAGGTCTGTGTCACTGGTGCAGGTCTGTGTCACTGGTGCAGGTCTGTGTCACTGGTGCAGGTCTGTGTCACTGGTGCAGGTCTGTGTCACTGGTGCAGGGCTGTGTCACTGGTTTCTTCCACTTCTCACCGCTTTCTTCTCCCTGCCTCTGCTGCCTCTACCTCTGCTGCTGCAGGCATTTGAGAAGAAGTGGGCGGACAGTCTAAAGGACATGGGCATGCGGCCTCCCTTTGAGTGGCCTAGACGTGATCTGCCCTCCCCACTCCCTTTCCGCTGTCTTCTGCTGCTGCTTCCTCTGCCTCTGCCCTTCCTCTGCTGCTACCTCTCCCTCTACCTCTGTCACAGGCATTTGAGAAGAAGTGGGCGGACAGACTAAAGGACATGGGCATGCGGCCTCCCTTTGCCTTTGGCTGCATCCTGCGATTCCTCCTCAAGTGAGTCGGCCAGTTACAGGGTTCAATATTCGAGTCAGCTCAAAAGTTCGCCAGTTACATGGTTCATTTCTTTCACGCGGATATGGTGTGTAGTGAATATATATATATATATGTATATATATATCCATAAACAACAACATTGTTTTCAGAGTACAGTGCGTTCAGCCATTCCCCCTGTTCCTTTCCCTTTCTCCTTCCCCTTCCCCTTTCATTTATGGCTTCCCCTCCCACATCCCCTCCCACATCCCCTCCCACATCCCCTCCCACATCCCCTCCCACATCCCCTCCCACATCCCCTCCCACATCCCCTCCCACATCCCCTCCCACATCCCCTCCCACATCCCCTCCCACATCCCCTCCCACATCCCCTCCCACATCCCCTCCCACATCCCCTCCCACATCCCCTTCCACATCCCCTCCCACATCCCCTCCCACATCCCCTCCCTCATCCCCTCCCGTTGCACACCTCTTCCTCTCTAACTCAGGCCCCAGCCAGAGGTCAGGTCTCGAGTGCAAGCCATCTACCACCACCTCCTCTCCCCTTCATTTGAGTTTTTACACGCGCTTCCCTCAACATCTGACATTCCCATTCACCCTCTCTTGTCTCTTCTTCCCCCCCGCAACTCCCCCCTTCCCCCCCGCAACACCCCCCTTCCCCATCCCAGGCCGCAACCAGCGGTCATCTCTCGAGTGCAAGCCATCTACCACCACCTCCTCTCCCCGCCCCCCTCCTCCTTCCGCCCATCGCACCCGCACCCCTCCTATGGCCCTTCGAACCGAGGGGTGGTGGTGGTGGGGATGCATATAAGAGCAGGGGACACAATGGTTTGGGAGGGAGAATGGGGATTCGGCGATCCCAAGGCGTTGAATGCCACACAGATGGATGCGCTGCTGTCGTGGGCTGACCAGTACATATCGTGTGCCAAGGTGGGTTTCTCTTTCCAAATCCGCCCTTCAAACCGAGGGGTGGTGGTGGTGGGGGTGCACATAAGAGCGGGAGACATGATGGTATGGGAGAGCGAGTGGGGGTTTGGCGATCCCAAGGCTCTCAATGTTTCTCAGACAGATGTGCTGCTCTCGTGAGCTGAAACAATCATGTGCCGAGGTGGGTGTGGGCTAAGGTGGAGGGGGGGGATAGGGATGAGGTGGGTGCCCTTGCGCCCCCACAGTGGACACAGGGCTGCGGTCTTGCGAGGTGCGCTGGCTCGTCGTCACCAACTCGCTGCCGCTCAAGACCGCCCTCTGGCTCAAGTACCCCCACAAGGCAAGCTCGCCTTTTCCCCTCTCCATCCACACTTCACGCACTGCTCTCCTCTCTCCCTCATGCTTCCACCTCTCTGCACCTGTCGTTGCCTCGTCGTCACCAACTCCCTGCCGCTCAAGACCGCCCTCTGATGTTCACGTGTTTCCTTCCCCCTCTCATCCCTCTCATACCCCTCTCCGCCCCCCCCTGTCATCCATTCGTGCAGGCATTAGAGGACTGGTGGGTGGCCTCACCACCTTATGAGGTGTGCTGGCTCGTGGGTACCAACTCGCTGCCACTCAAGACTGCCTTCTGATATTCACGCGTATCTCGTTCGTCCCTTTACTTGTCCCATCCGCTCATCTCCCTCTCACCCTGCAGGCATTAGAGGAGTGGTGGGTGCCCTCGCCCCCTTATGAGGTGCGCTGGCTCGTCGTCACCAACTCGCTGCCGCTCAAGACCGCCCTCTGGCTCAAATACCCCCATAGGGTATGCACTCCCTCTGTCCTCTCTACCTCTTTCACACTCGCATTCCACACTCACTCCACTCTCTCACTCTAAGCTCACTTTCCACACTCAATCCATACCCTCACTCCACACCCTCACTCCACACTCTCACTCCACACTCTCATTCCACACTCTTACTCCCCACTCTCACCCTCATCCCTGCCTGACCGCTCTCTCATCTCACCACCCATCTGCCCCACTATTGCCATCCTCGTTTGGTGTGGCATGGGTGGTGGTATCAGACATTGTCCCCACTCTCACTCCCCGCTCTCACCCTTGACCTATCATCTCACCACCACCCATCCGCTCCACTATTGCCATCCTCGTTTGTGGCACAGGTGGTGGTATCAGACATTGTCCCTCGCCACGTCAACACCCTGACATGGCCCCAGGACCCAACACCCACTGACACACACCCTCCTTCATCGCAAACGGTTTCACCAGCGCAATTCACTCCGGAAGAAGGGGCTTCCACATACATTGACATTGTAACAGAATGGCTGCTTCTCGCGTCGAGTGATGCACTCATTTTGACTAAGTCGGGATTTTCGCATACGGCGGCATTTTTTTCGCATCGTCTGGCGGCTGTTTATGTTCCCGAGGAATGTGATCCCGAGGCTTTTGTGCCGACACGCCGAATAGGAAGAATATGGAGCGGGGTATGATTATTGCGATGTATCTCGTGATTGATTAATCTATTACCCAACATACCGTATCTGCGTATTATATCCAGTAAGTTCGCATGCATTGTTCCTGGTATTATAGTTCAAACAAGGACATCCTGTTGCGGGTACAGGGTGAAAGTTTCCTCTCTGATTTGAAGTTCCCTCGAAACGCGACTGCACCGCACACATCACAAGTTGCCGCACCCACCCAACTCGTCGTCGCGTGGTAGCTACCCACCTAGATTGCTCATTACTGTTCCCTCACCTCCCGCTCGTAACTACGCCTCCAATCGATCGCGCATTATGCGCTTGTGCGCTCGGCTCTTATCGCGTACAGGTATAAGCTACGCGGGCGCCTCGCAGCGTCGAGTTCTGCCGATGATCGGAATTGCCTCGAGCAATCTCAGCCGTCCGTTGTCATCCACTCGCGTTACCAGACTTGTCACCCCCAAGGCCAACAATTTCTCGAGAATATCCCCGACAGGAGAGTGCTTCGATATAAGTTCTTCCACGCGACGCATAAAGCCTCTACACTCTGTTAGCAGTGGGTTCTCTACTTATCAACGTCGCACGTCCGCAGCCGTCCACGTCATCGGATCCACGTCATCCGGGTCAAACGGCAGCAGAAGAATGGCGCTTGCCAGCTCAGCGCACCCGATGCTGACTCAGCAGGCTGGAACCGCTACCAACGAGGCTTCAAGGCCGGAACAGGGTTTAAGAGGGGCTGGAGGGTTGGGAGAATCAACGGCTGTTAATTCAGGATTGGGAGAGGGTTTAAGAGAAATGGAAGGTCCAGATGTACCGAATGGGCTGCGAGATTCGACGCGGGTGAGAGAACCAGTGGGGGGGATAAGCGCTGGTGGAATCCCCGAAATGGGCGGAACTTCCTCGACAGGCACGTCTTCCGCAGTGGGCGCGCGCAGGCGGCATTTGGAGCGGGTGCTGCGCGCCGAGCTGCCGTGGATGGGGGGCGCGCTGGACCCCCTGGTGGTGCAGATAATGCGCGAGGTGGTGGAGATAGAGGAGAAAATGAGAGAGGGGGAGGGCTTGAGGGAGGGAGTGAGGGAGGGAGTAAGGGAGGGAGTGAGGGGTGAGGAGGGGAGAATGGAAGGGAGAGGAGATGTAAAGCTGAATGGGGAAGAAGGGCGAGAGGAGGAGGAGGGGAGTGAAAGGGAGAGTGGGAGGGAGAAGAGGGGAGGCGAGCTGGAAGAGAGAGGAGGGAAGGGGGTGACGGAAGAGGTGGAAGGGGCCGATCGGGAGAATGAGGAAGATGAGGATGATGGGTACCTGGACGAGGTATGGTAATGTACGATTGAAAGCAAAGCAGTACGGTAGTGTACGGTTAAGAATGGCCTTCTCCGAATCTAGTCTCAAATATTATCTCCTCATCCCGCTCCCATCCGCACTCCCACCTTTTTCTCCTCTTTGACCTTTCTCTTCCTTCTTCATGGCATTTCTTCATTTTCCCACCCTCTCCCTTCCCGCTAGACCACGGAGTGTTTTTTTTTCTTATCTTTAAACTGTTTCTTTTTTTCATTTTTCCACCCTGGTAGCTAGTTCACGCCACTCCAGTTGAAATAAAAACTCTATTTCCACACAAACTCTCAAACACTCTCAAATTCTCTCAAGCGAACCAACTACCTACAATCTGCCTTCGAACGCGTGCCAAGCGATCAATTGTTGGATTAGGAAGTTTGAGAGATTTCAACTCACGTGTCCCATAGAAACCGTGTAGTACCCGCCTCCCGGATAGCAAGGTGCCGGGTTGGTTGAAGCGGCCTAAGAGGTAGTGGGGCATTGGGGCCCTGCGACACCATCTTACTACAGTAAAAGGTGTGGCATTGTCGGTATCAGGTGAACCTTCGTCAGCCTCGTGGCTCGCCAACCTTTGGGCTAGGCGGGATATGGTCACAATCTGACAACTGGAAACTGATCTGCAATGAACCACGGCTAGTGGGAAGTACAGATCACTAAATAGTGTTTGTACCATATAGTGTCTGTACTTCCCATCCCACTAACTGTGGTTCGCAGCATATCGGATTTAGTTGTCGTGTTGTGATCATACACCGCCTAGCCCAAAGGTCGGTTGGCCACGAGGCCAGCGAAAATTCACTTGGCACCGACAATGCCACAGCTTTTCTTGTAGTAAAATTGTGTCGCAGGGCCCCAATGCCCCACTACCTCTTAAGCCGTTTCAGCCAAGCCGGCACCTCGCTGTCCGGGAGGCGGGTACTACTCGGTTTCCGTGGGACACGTGTGTTGAAATCTCTCAAACCTTCTAATCCAACAATTAATCGCTTGGCAAGCGTTCGAAGGCAGATTGTAGGTAGTTGGTTCGCTTGAGAGAGTTTGAGAGTGTTTGAGAGTTTGTGTGGAAATCGAGTTTTTATTTCAGCTGGAGTGGCGTGAAACAGGTACCCGTACCCCTTTTATTTGAAGTTTTATTCTTATTTTTAGATTTATTATAGAATATGTAAGTGCCCCCCCATCTCTCGATTCTCAACCTCCACGTTGCCTCCCAACCCTCCCCCCGTCAGAGCCCATGAGCAGAGGCGATAGAGGCGTGGTTTCGCATAGCGTACCCGCTAGAGGAAGAGGGTGTTTCTCATTCTCGCACCACGTATTCCCCCCATTCCCCTCTCCACGTGCTCTCCACCCTCCCCGCTCCCCCCATCAGAGCCCAGGAGCACAAGCAGTAGAAGCGTGGTTCCGCGTGGCCTACCTCAGCAGAGAGAGAGGAAGCGGGCAGCTCTCACCTCTCAACACCCCTCCACGTCCCCATCAGAGGCCCGGAGCAGAGGCCATAGAGGCGTGGTTCCGCATGGCGTACCCCAGAGACGACTTCCCACCTCTCGTCAACCCATCTCCCACTCCATCTCCGTCCTCCCCATCTCTTTCAGAGCCCAGGAGCAGAGGCCATAGAGGCATGGTTTCGTGTGGCCTACTTGAGTCGAGAGAGGAAGAGGAGTGACAGGGAGGGCTGTTTGCGCGCTTTTGCTGCTCGGCAGATGGCGGTGAAGCTGATTACTGCTTATAGAGGGGCGTGCAGAGAGGTGGGTGAGTGTGCTGTGCGGTGTGCTGTGCTGTATGTTGCAGTGCATGCATCCCGTGGGTTTACACGGGGAGGGCTGTCTGGCTGTTTGCGCGCCTTCGCTGCGCGGCAGGTGGTGGTGAAGCTGATTGCTTATTGAGGGGCGTGCAGAGAGGTGCGTGGGTGTGTTATGCGGTGCAGTGCGGTGTGGTGCAGTGCAGTGTATGTTGCAGTGCATGCAGCCCATGGGCGGACGGGGAAGGCTGTTCGCGCCTCTGCTGCTCAGTGTATGGCGGCGAAGCTGATTACAGCGTACAGAGGGGCGTGCAGAGAGGTGCGTGGGTGTGCTATGTGTGTGTGCTGTGCTCTGCCGTATGTTGCAGTGCATGCAGGCAGTCTCAGGGGCGGATGGGGTGGGCTGTCTGTTCTTCTGCCTGCCTTTGCTGTGCTGCAGATGGCGGTGAGTATGAGTGGGGGATGGTATGGTTGGGTGCGGTGCGGTGTGGTGTGGTGAATGTTGCAGTGCATGCAGTCTCTGGGGCGACCGGGGAGGGCTGTTTGTGTGCCTTTGCTGCGCGGCATATGGCGGTGCTAACTACTGCTTATAGGGGGGCGTGCAGGCAGGTGCGCGGGTGTGCTGTGCTGTGCTGTGGTGGTGTGGTGTGGTGTGGTGTGGTGTGGTGTGGTGTGGTGTGGTGTGGTGTGGTGTGGTGTGGTGTGGGTTCATGACGGTCATGCAAGGTGTCTCTCTCAGACGTCCCTCCAGGTTTCAACCCAGACGCTCACCCTCAACCTCGTCCCCCTTCCCTCCCGATCCACCCTCCTTGCCGGCAGTGCTGGCCACCACGAGCGGACTGCACGTGCGATGAGGTGTCACCTAACCCAACCGCATTCAACTCCCAACCAGTCTCTTACTCCCAACATCTTCCCCCTCCCGTGGGCAGGGTTTGCCCTCCCTGGCGGCAATGCTGGTTACCACGGGCTGACTGCACGTGTGATGAGGTCTCGCCCAACCCCTCCCTGCTCTGCTCCCAACTCAGACTCTCACCCTCATCCTTTTCCCCATACTCCCCCCACACCTCTCTCCCCCCTCACTCCATTGATTCACACTTTCCTGCCGCCAATCCTGGCCACCACGAGGCGACTGCACGTGTGATGAGGTCTCCCCCCTCCTCTCCCTGCAATCCTGGTTACCACGAGGCGACTGCACGTGTGATGAGGCTTACAACCCAGGCTCTCACCCTGAGACGCCTTTTGAGTCGACTCAAAAGTCACCCTGAGACGCCTTTTGAGTCGACTCAAAAGTCACCCTGAGACGCCTTTTGAGTCGACTCAAAAGTCACCCTGAGACTCTTCCTCATCTCCCTCCCTTCCCCCCCGCCCCCACCAATCCACCCTCCCTGCCGGCAGTGCTGGTTACCACGAGGCGACTGCACGTGTGACGAGGTGTTGTCGCCCAACCCCTTCCAACCCATGATGTGTCTTCCGGACCGCATCCCACCAATACCTCCTCCGCATTTGAATCACCCTGCTCCTTGCAGTGCTGGTTACCACGAGGGGACTGCACGTGTGACGAGGTCTCGCCCAACCCTTCTTTGCTGAGCAACGTGGTCATCTGGCTTTACATGCACCCCAAGGTGAAAAGACTTCCCTTCCTTTCTGTACTCGTTATAGTCAGGTTCAACGCCCCGCGCATTGCTGCTGAGCAACGTGGTCATCTGGCTCTACATGCACCCTCAGGTGAGCTGAGTGCTCTTGTACTCGTTATAATCAGATGTGAGGTTCCGTGCTGATTAACGTGGTCATTTGGTTGGTCTCTCCCTCTCATCTCCGGCTCGAGTGTCACTTTTGTGAATTCTCAAAAGTATCCTTTTTGAGGCGCCTCAAAAGTCGGCAAAGGTCAGATGAGATGAGCCCTCCTGTACTCGTCATAATAAAAACACCGAGGCTCCTCAACTCGCACTGCTCTGGCTCTGCCAAAAACCGAGACTCCCCTCCTGATTATTCATATGGGGCTTCCTCCCTGTGCTGTGCATGTGTCAAGAACAGTAGCAGACAAGAACTGCCCATAATTCCATCTCCCTTTGTTCCTCTCTCAACCCGTATGCACAGCACAGGGACGAAGCCGCATATGCTCAGAGTAGCCTGAGGGACATCCCTCACCACCTGATGAGGGACATGCTGAATCTGGTTTTTAAGAATTCTCAAAAAACAGGCGCAGGGATGCTCATATCCGATGTGACTCTGGAGTCGACTCAAAAGTCACTTCCTAAAAACATCCTCAAATCCGAATGCTGAATCTGGTTATTCAGAATTCTCAAAAAACCGATGGGGTCAGCTCAGACATCCTGAAATCCGAATGCTTCTCGCTGCTGGCCCCACCCTCACCTCACCCCTTCAGGAATGTCTGCGCCGAAACAACACAGGCAAGCTTCTGTGGCAGGTGGTGGGGGGAAGGAGGAGTGTGTAACAACACCCCCCAACCCACATTCGCTGCCCAGCCACTCTTACCGTGTCTCCATTCTCCTTGCTGCCCTGCCCCCCCCCAACCTCTCACTCACAGGACGCTCTGCGGCACAACAACACAACACAGGCAAGCTACTATGGCAGGTGCTGGGGGGCGAGCACTCCCTGTTCCCTCTGTCTGCTGTGTCCCCCACCCGTGTCCCCCACTCTGACTGTGCCTCACATCCTTGTCCGTCCCCCGTCTTCACCCCTTCAGGACTTTCTGCGGCGCAACAACACGGGCAAGCTGCTGTGGCAGGTGCTGGGGGGTGAGAGTGCGCGGCTGTGTGTGTTTGGCATTAACGCTCACGAGGAGAGAATGTGGGATGAGCTGAAGCGAGCAGGTGAGATGAGGTGCTTTGAATCAGGGCGTTGGAGGAGGTGGTGGGTAGGGGGAAAGGGAGTGTGTGAGGCAAGCTGCTGTGGCAGGTGCTGGGGGGGGAGAGTGCCCGGCTGTGTGTGTTTGGCATCAACGCCCATGAAGAGCGAATGTGGGATGAGCTGAAGCGAGCAGGTGAGTGCAACGGGTACTTTTTCCGTGTGAGAGAGGGATGTGCCTTGCCTCTGCGTGCCGTGCCTCACCTTGTGGAGAGGGAAGCTTCCGGTTTGGGAGAGGGAGTGTGTGCGCCACACTAGCTTGTGTGTGTATTCGGCATCAACGGTCACAAGGAATGACGCAAGCTGAAGCGAGCTGTGAATGTGGGCTGAGCTGAAGAGAGCAGGTGAGTGCGATGGGTGCTGTGTGTGTTTGGCATCAACGGTCACGAGGAGCGCATGTGGGCTGAGCTGAAGCGAGCAGGTGGGTGCGTTGTGTACTTGTGTCACTGAGATGTTCTGAAGTAGGAGAGAGAGAGTGTGTGGCAAGCTGCTGTGGCAAGCTGCTGTCGCATGCTGCTCGGCTGTGTGTGTTTGGCATCAATGCCAGCGACTAGCGCATGTGGGCGGAGCTGAAGCGAGCAGGTGAGTGCGATGGTGCTGTGTGTGTTTGTGAGTGGGCGAGGGAGTGCGTGTCAGCACGCTGGATCGGTTCGGCTGTGTGTGTATGGGGTGGCAAGTGCTGCGAAGAGAGAGAGTGCCCGGCTGTGTGTCTTCAGTATCAACGCTCACGAGGAGAGAAGGTGAGGCGATTTTTTAGGTGTGTCGACACGCTCACATGCACAGTAACTCGTGGTCCCTCCCTCCCACCATCATCCCTCCCGTCAGCCTTTTATACATACTCTGTGTGTTGTGTACCCAGTCTCTTCCCCTCCCTAGCCTCACACACACACTATCCTGTCTGTTTTTGAGGCGCCTCAAAAACAGCCTCCCCCAACCGCCCTGGCCTCACATATACTCTATCCTGTCCGTCTCTCCCTCCCTCGCACCAGGTCCTGACTCCGTGAGGTGTGTGTACCTGGCGTCCTCTCCCCACCCCTGATACCAGTAACACCCAGTCACCAGGTCTACTCATCAAGTCACGTAAACACACTACCCTGTCCCTTCTCTCCCCCCACCAGGTCCTGACTTCGTGAGGTGTGTGTACCCGGCGTCCTCTCCTCCCCCCGATACCGTGCCGTCTATGCACATACCCTCCTCCTTCTCCTCCTCCTCATCCTCGCCCTCCCCAGCGAGTAAGAAGCAGAGACAAATTGAGTCGCACCACAGCACCACCGCCGCTGCTGATGGCACTAGTAGTGCTGCTGCTGATTCGGGGGCAGCAGAGGTCGCAGCAGCAGCAGCAGAGGCAGCAGCAGCACCAGAGGCAGCAGGGGGTGCGGCACTGGCAGCAGCAGCAGCCGACAGTGCAGCGCCTGCATCGCTGTCGCCGTCATCCTCACCTTCACCGCTTCACTTCATTCTCATTGACGGCACGTGGAGCAACTCCAAGGCCATGACTGCTCGGCTCAAGGTGTGTGCATTGGAAGCAAGTGGAAGATCATGATTGCACGGCATAAGGTTGGTCTCGGGTTGCCGACGCGTATGGAGTGGGGAAGAGGGAGCGGAGAGGAAGGGGTGGTTGAAATGGGCTGTGCTTGAAGGCATGTAGAGAAACGCCATGGCCATGAAGGCACAGTCATGATTGCACGGTGAAGGTTTCAGGTGAGATGCATGTGAAGGCACAGTGGCATGTGATGGGGCATCTGCATTTGCATGTGTTGTTATGTGGGCTTCGTTTGTTCCATGTGTGTACTGGGTTTTGTTCAATGAGCTGTTCTCACAGAATGTGGCTTGATTACCTTTCTGAAAGCTCTGAAGTCCTCACAACTCGCATTCCCGGGCTTGTTCTGTGAGCAGGAAGCAGCACACAGGGCATGGGATGGGAGGGACTTGCCTTTCCTGTCTCTTCAACCACCACAGCCATCAGTCATGCACGGTCTCAGGTAACATTCACTTGCCATTAGGTGATGGTCGCTTGCCTTAATGCTGATCAAATATGTAGCTTCGTTTACTGAAGCCATGTCATGCACTCCCTGATCTGCCCCTTAACCAGTTTTTTTACTCAGCATCAGTCTTCCGTATTTTGGCATACATTTGTGTGAATGGTCAAAATGCGTGCTAATTGTCTGGGTTATGAATTCATATTACCCTTTCCATGTGCACTGCATCACGTTTGCCTTCGTGTGTCAGGCCTCAACCAGCAGAAGACAAGACGTGCACAGCAGCAGCAGCATCAAGCCTTTTGCGTGAGCTTGGCGAAAGGGAGGAGATGGACACACAACAGTTATCAAAAGCAGCAGACGCCATAGACGATGCATTGCTGTGTCTGCTTGACGCACTCACGGACCGAAGGAGAAGGTCTGGGAGGCCGGGGCTGAGGCTCGGCTTGGGCCGAAATGCGAGACCGTTTTGAATGCAGGAATATAGATAGGAGGAGCTGTATGCAGTTTGCTTGTACAGAACTGAGTTTGCTTTATGATTAGCTTGTTCACTTACACGCACGGCAAGGTTTTTTCTTGGCGAGACTGTCATCCTATGACGGAGGGTTCAGAAATCTGAATTCGTAACCACAGTTGCCGAAACCCAATTTGCCAGGGACGATGATCGCCGGTGGTACTGCAATCAGCGAAAATGGCAACTCGGGTTACTCCCGCATAGCGCAATTCACATCCCATTCCCCCAGCCAGAATCTCGAGAAATGCATAAATTCCTGAACAGAGAAATCAAATTGACACATTTTTTAGACATTAGCTCATTACCACACATCCGCGTCCTCCTTGCGCCACACCAGATTCGCCGTGAATGGCGCTTTGCCGTCCACCCGCCCGTTGCGCAACGCCGCAGCATCTCTTCGTTTTTACCCCGACTCTATCCGCACGCTCTCCACATGTCTCCACAAATCCCCGCGCGCGCCTCTCCCATCTCTCCGCATCCCCCTTCCGCGGCGTGCCAAACCTCCCAATGAGCTTGTCGGCTACGCATGGCGGGGTTCCGAACCTCTCATGCCGTCCTAAACACCAATGCGCCTTCAGGACCCGTCACTCTCGCGTACATTCCGCTACGATAAGAGCAGATTCGTTACCATCATCCAGCCACTCGGCAACAACGGACCCCTCCTCGCCCCTTTCCGCCGTGCACCCGCCCCCCTCCCCGCTCCCCCCCGCGCCCCTCCCCTGCCCCTGCGCCATCTGCTCCCGCCGCGCGCTCATCTCCGCTTCACTCCTCCTCTCCGCCTCCGCGCTCCCCGCAAACGCAGCCGATTCCGCGCAAACTGCGGAGGCGGCGCAAGCAGCGCTGGCGGCGGTGCGGGGCGGGAAATGGCGGTGGCAGGAGGAGCTATTCGCGTGGATGATGGCGACCGGTATGAAGGAGTATGAGGAGAGTGTAGAGGGGTATAAGCTGGCTTTATTTGAGCCTCTTCGATCGGAAATCGGTATAGTAACAGGAGTGGAGAGTGGTGAAGCAGTTAGAGGAGGAGGGATGGTGGAATCAGGGAGCGATGCGGTTTTTAGATTGGTGGAGATCGGTGTTGGAGCGGGCCCCAACTTCCGCTTCTACACCCAGGACTCGTTACAGACGCAATCTGCGCCAGGTTTCGAGGTTGTGGGTGTAGATCCGAATCCGTCGATGCAGCCATATGCAGAGGCGTCGGCAGCAGCAGCAGGGTTGGCAGGGAACCGATTTCGATTTGTTCAAGGAGTGGGGGAAGCGCTCCCATTGGATGACGGCTGTGCTGACGTGGTAGTGTGTTCCCTGGTGCTGTGTTCGGTAGCTGACGTCAGGCAGTGCGTCAGCGAGATAAAGCGGATTCTCAAGCCTGGAGGAAGGTGAGGAGGAGTATTATTCCTATCCTTCCCATTTTGTCTCCTTTTCAATACTCTCTTCTCTCTCCTCTTACCTCTTCTCCCTTTTTCCTCTTATTCCCCACCTGTCCCCTGTATTCCCCCCTCTCCCACTGCTTCCCACCCTTCTCCCCGCTGTCCCTTCCTGCTTCCGTCTCTTTTCTCCATACCTCCCCCCTTTCTGTCCAGCTACTACTTTCTGGAGCATGTAGCAGCACCGCAAGGCACCTCTCTGCACCTCTGGCAATCCATCCTAGACCTCTTACAGCCCCTGCTATACGACGGCTGTCACATCACTCGCAACCCCCTCCCCACCATCAAGCTATCAGGCTTCGCTGCAGTTAAAGCTAGGGAGGTGATGCTGCCAGGGCAATGGCTAATCAGCCCACACGTGATTGGCCAAGCGACTAAAGCTTAGAGTGCTTAAAGCCGAGTGATTCTGCGATCTCTCATGGTCATTGGACTGTGTGGGCCGAAAGCAGTGCGTGCGTGCTGCAACAAAGAAAGATGCAAAGCAGGAGCAGGAGAATTGTCAGGCCTTGCAGGACCCTGGAATTACCAATGACAAGCACTAGACCTGCATCTCTCTCTTGTCCTCCATTCTCCCTGTTTTTTTCTACCTCCTTTTTCCCCCCCTTTTCCATTTTACCTTTTTCCTGTCATTTTTCCGGTCAAATCGACCTGCCCCAGCTACTACTTTCTGGAGCACGTGGCGGCACCGCAGGGCACCGCTCTGCACACTTGGCAACGACTGTTGGACCCACTGCAATCTGCATTGGCAGACGGGTGTCATCTCACGCGCAGCCCTCTGACTTTCATCAAGCTAGCAGGGTTTGGTGCGGTGCAAGCAAGGGAGGTGATGGTACCGGGGCTGTCACTGCTTGCACCACATGTTGTGGGCACTGCTTCGAAGGCTTAGCGTTTGTATATGTAAGTTGACACGCTCTATTACACTCACGTAATAATGCCACATTATGATGTCGAAATTGTTGGAAACAATCGAGCTTAAGCGCCTCTGTCGTGTCGAAACACCAAGGCACAAGCGAAGCAAAGCATATCGAGGCACCAGCGAGTCAACCCTCGGAGGTTGAAGTAACTGTGAGAATAAGCGAACAGGAATGAATGAACTAGAAGTGAAATGAGTACAAGTAGTAGACCCTAGAATTGTGTACCCCCTATAGGCTAACCCACTGTAGCCTACACAAGCATAACATGTATAATGTTTGACACACCCCCATAGGCAAAGTGGGGGAGAACAAGGGGTCACAAGACCAGTCAAGCAAAGCAAAGCAAGCTCAGGGTGGATCACAAAGTCACCACACAGTCCGAGCACAAGAGCAGGGCCAGAGGCCAGTTCACATGCAGGAGTACAGACATATATATAAAACTAGACAAGCAAGAGCAGGTATATATATATGTCACAGTACAATTAAAGTCAAGAGGAGAGCAAGTGAGGAAAGACAGGCACAAGACCCAGCTGGGTGCAAAAGCGCTGATGATCACAAGGCGCGAGTGCCTTGGTGAACACATCAGCAGTGTTGGCCTCAGAGGCCACGTACGCAAGTCGCAACTGACCACGCTGCTGCAGCTCACGAGCAAGGAAGTAGCGGAGAGCAATGTGCTTCGTTCTGTGCTCCAAGCGCTGCTCTCGACACAAGACCAGCATGGCCTTGTTGTCTACGTACAGCACTGGAGGAGAACGAGGCGGCTCTCCAAGGTCAGTCAGCAGGTAGGTGAGCCAGCGAAGCTCCTGTGCAGCCATGGCCCCGGCGTAGATCTCAGCCTCACAACTAGAGCCGAGAACTGAAGACGAGCGAGTAGACCGCCACGAGACAGAGCCGGAACCAAGGCTGAAGGTGTAACCCTGTGACGACCGCTGCGTAGCCTGGTCGTCAACCCAAGAAGCGTCCGCGTGGCCTGTAAGGACCACTGGACTCCGCCCTCCAAGCACTAGCCCCATGCCCGACGTACTGCACAGGTAGCGCAATACCCTCTTCGCTGCAGCCATGTGCTCTGGTCGGTGTCTCCCAGGAGCAACATAGCGTGCAAGGATGCTCAGAGGGTATGCAAGGTCAGGTCGAGTGCAGGTCATCAGGTACATGAGGCAGCCAACAAGCTCTGCATACGGACCACTCGACTCTACGGACTCATCCGAAGGCAGAGCTGAGAGTGAGTGGCGAGTAGGCAGAGGAGTGGCCTGAGGCGAGGAGTACGTGAAGCCGAAGCGCTGAAGGACCTGCTGCACCATGTGTGACTGAGTCAAGATAATGGTGCGGCGTGCTCTGTCCCGAGTGATCTGCAAGCCAAGGTAGCTGCGTAGTTCACCCAGGTCTGTGCACGTGTGTCTCTTCAGCAGTTCGGACTTCACGTAGGCGAGTCCAGCAGTGTCCGCTGTGGCAAAGACCAAGTCGTCGACGTACACGAGGATGTAGAACGGCGGCAGTGAAGTGTCGGTGCGCAGAAACAGCGACGGGTCAGCAGTAGAAGGAGCAAACCCAAGAGCCGCAAGCGTAGTCCTCAGTGTGTCGTGCCACTCACGCGGTGCCTGGCGGAGACCGTAGACTGGCCGTCGGAGGCTCCACTGGGTGCCAGGAGGGAAAGTCCCAGTGAAGCCAGGTGGACGGCGCAGCCAGATCTCCTCGTGCAAGCTACCCTGCAGGAACGCAGTGCTGAAGTCGAGAGAGTGAAGCTCGTAGTCGCGCTGAGCGGCTATGTGCAGCAGCACCCGAAGAGTGGTCATCTTCGGGGTGGGAGAGAAGGTCTGAAAGTAGTCAACTCCCTGCCGCTGACTGAAGCCACGAGCAACGTACCGCGCCTTGAAGACAGGTGGAGAGCCCAGCGGCCGCTTCACCCTGAAGATCCACATGCCACTGACGATGTTCGCCCCAGGAGGGGGAACCGCGTCAACGTAGGTGCCTGTGGACTTCCAGGAAGCCATCTCTGCATCCATAGCTGCCTGCCACTGAGAGGAGTAGGGACCCTCTACGGCCTCCGCGTAAGAACGCGGAGTCAGGATGTCTAGTGCATCCGGGTCTCCCTCAGGGGCAAGCAGTACAGACGCGAGATGAGGTGAAGCAGCCGCTAGACACTGTAACTCCTCCTGCCTGTCCTCTAGGACGTCCGTGCCAAGAGCACACTCACCCCCGACGGACGGAGGACAGACAGACGCAGACTCAGCAACAAGACTAGCAGCGTAGTCGAGACGACAGCGAGCAGCAAAGTCAACGAGCTCAGCGACTAGAGCAGACGCAGCAGTGGACTCAAAAGAGGGGTCAGTGACGACAGTAGCAAGCAGACGCGTGACAGTAGGACTGACAGCGCGAAGAGAGTCCGACTCAGGGTCGGCAAGCGCAGGAAGAGAGGACTCAGGAGGAGAAGGCAAAGGGGCACGCAGAGGAGCAGTGGACGGACGCAGAGACATCCGGTGCGTGCCAGGGACAGGAGGAGGACGCTGACGCGAACCGCGACCACTAGCGCGAGCAGCACGAACCGGCGACGCGGGACGAGACGCAGGCTCACGACGCTCAGCAAGACCTCCAGTAGGACCAGTGTAAGGAGAGGGAGCAGGCAGAGGAGAGGAAGGCTCCAACAGTGACTGCGACTGGACAGGCTGTGGACACTCTACCGAAGGAGAAAGACCAAGAACATGCTGTAGGAGCGGAACGAAGTACGGCCGAGGCCGCGCGGCAGCTCCAGACTCAGCAGGAACAGCACCAGCACCCTCAGCGACAGCACCAGCGCCACCAACACCTCCAGCGGCAGGACCTCCAGCAGCACCAGCAGCAGAACCACAGCCAGGACAGACAGCAGTAGTCTCAGCACCAACACCCTCAGGCCCACCAGCTCCGGGACCGGCAGCACCAGCACCCTCGACGGTCGACGAAGCTCCAGCTCCAGCAGTACGCCTCCAGCGGCGAGCAAACCACTCGCGCAGCTCCTGTGGAGAGAGGGGCTCCCGGCGAGATGCAGCAGCAGGAGAAACCCCAGGCTCAGCAGCTCCAGACGTAGCACCCCCAGGCTCAGTAGCTCCAGACTCAGCACCTCCAGGCTCAGCAGCTCCAGACTCAGCACCCCCAGACTCAGTAGCTCCAGCTCCAGTAGGACCCGCAGGCCCGGCAGCTCCGGGACCGGCAGCACCCTCAGCAGGCGAAGAAGCTCCAGCTCCAGCAGCACGCCTCCAGCGGCGAGCAAACCACTCGCGCAGCTCCTGTGGAGAGAGCGGCTCCCGCCGAGACGGAAGAACCGGAGAGCCCCCAGGTCCTGCAGGCGCAGGCTCCGCACCTCCAGGCCCAGCACCCCCAGGCTCAGCAGCTCCTGACGTAGCACCCTCCGGCTCAGCACCCCCCGGCTCAGCACCCCCAGACTCAGCACCCCCCGGCCTCGCACCCCTAGGCTCAGCACCCCCACGCTCAGCACCCCCAGCAGCAGCACCCCCAGGCTCAGCAGCCGCAGCAGGACCAGACTCAGCAGCAACCTCGACTGGCTCGACCGTGTCTACATGGGACACACCTGAAGGGGCAAGAACCTGAGGGGGGAGGGGGTCTACCGGGGGGGGAACTGGTACCAGGAAGTCCGGTGGGGGGGGGAGGGAAGGAGTACGGTAGGGGAAGAGGCGGTAGAAGGGGACTGACTCGTCGAACGTGACGTCCTGGGAGGACAGAACACGACGAGAGGAGGGGTGGTAGAACTGCCACCCTGGAGCGTCAGGGGGGAAGCCAAGGAAGACACAGGGAGCAGCACGGGGGGACAGCTTGTCCACAGACAAGTCGCGGACAAACGCTCGAGATCCCCAGACACGGAACGCAGACGCATCGCCGACCTTCCCCGTCCACAGTAACACTGGGGACATCGCGGGCCGAGAGACCCTGGGGTGAAGGTTGAGCTGATGCGCCGCGTACCGAACCGCAAACGGCCACAGAAAATGGGGGGCAGCCGCATGCATCATGGACGTACGAGCGACATCCATGACCATGCCAATGCGGCGCTCAGCAATCCCATTTTGCTGTGGAGAGTCCGGAAGCGTAAAGGTCTGGCGGATCCCCTGTGCACGACAGTAGTCTCGCAGAAGGCGAGAGGAGAACTCCCCACCTCGGTCAGAGTGCAGACGCAGAACAAGAAAGTCCGAGCCGAAGCTCCTCCTGAGCTGGAGACGAGCCTCGCGGATCCAGTCGATCAGCACCTCAGTGACAGCACCCTTGGTGCGCAAGGGGAAGACTGAGGTGTAACGCGAGTAGTCGTCAACCACCAACAGGAAGTAGCGCTCGTGACCCTGCCCACGGACGGGGGCCGGGCCCCACACGTCCATGTGAAGCGTCTGCAGAGGAGCCTCTGTCGGGGGAAACTGGGAGGAGTGAGGAGCAGCCCTGAGGCGCCCCTCAACACAGGGGACACAGGAAGGTCCTGGTCCCGAAGGAAGGG